CATGTTCAAACTGCAAGTCTAAGCACCCTTTATAATCTTTCTAGTGAAAATGAACAAGATACATCTAAAGAGTTTGAAGATTATGCAGAAGAAACTAATACCTCAAACCCAGAAGAGGATATGATTGACAGGGAAGCATTTGTTAACTCCTCATATTGCGTAACTAGTAATGTGAATACTGGAATGCCTAACACCCCAGATCCTGCTTTGGTAGCAGTGGAAAATCATGAAAGTCAAATTACAAGTCTGCTTAATCATGAAAGCCAAAGTACAAGTCTGCTTAATGATAAGTGTCCAAGCAAGATAGTGAAGGATAAATTCAGCCGGAAACTGACGTCGGGCCGCTTAAAATATTTGGCCCCTATAATGAGACAGAAGGATTTGACTGATTGTAAGCATGGAGAGTCAAGCTGCAGCAGTGGTGAAACTATCTCTGTGGATAGGAAGCCAATTCAAGATGAGTCTCATCCCCAATCAAACTTGCCAAATGCATGTGAGGTTATGGAATATCAAGTGGATCCACAACATTTTTCAACAGCTAGTTCTCTGGGAAAGGGCAGTCCAAGTGGAAGCAATGAAGGCAGTGTCACTATGAATTGCCTCGATAGAGAAGGGTCTCCTGAAAAATCTCAACCGTGGACATTGATTGACTTGAACTTTCCTCCTGTTTCACCAGATTTAGGAACTGATGAACCGTTGATCAAGTGCATGATGCAAAATAATGACAATTCAAGTGAAAACAAGTCATCATCTCTATCTGAAACAAGCGAGCAGCCTGAGCCACTGAAGCTTCCTGAAGTTGGGGAGAGTATGGAGCAGCAACAACCTACTATTAAGAGCCAGAGGCAGAGTACAAGGAACCGACCATTGACCACAAGAGCATGGGAAGCTCTTGAACTTGATTTCTGTAGGACAAAGAGGAAGAGAAAGGGTGAGACTCTACAAAATAAGTCAATATCAAGGTTGCAAATAGATCGGGGAAACACTAGTGTTAGTTCAGTTTATGATGAACACCAGGATAGGGGAGAAAAACGGGTTAAGAGTTTGTAGCAAAGTGACAATGCAAACGCGGTTGGTGTGCCTCAGGTTTGATGCAAGAAGAAATGCACTGATCATATTAAAGAACGTCCAATTAGTTGCAGGCCATATGTCCAATGTGGAGAATCAAATGCACTTCTTTTCACTTGGCAGGAGCAAATTGGTATGTTGACCTGCAGAAATTGGCTTGACTGGAACTCAAGAGTGTGTTTGAATGGTCTGGTTTAGCTCAAGTTTCTGAAGCTTTAGTAGCTTCATGGTATATACTGATATACAGTACAGGTGACTGAGATGAGGCAAGCAAGGCCATATTTTGTTGCATGCTTCCTTCTCTCTGCCTTCATCTTTTTAATTTTTAATCTATATTGGCCTATACTTCTCTCACTGATTCTTGAGGGCTTACCTGAAATAATGACATAAACTCCATGAACAAAGTAATTGTTATTCTGTCTTCATCTGCATATAAACTCATCATCCAGCTTTCTACCTCTGTAGAAACTTGAACATGAAATGATGTTGACCAAATTATGATGATATGTCATTCTATTGTATGTCAGTCTGAATCCTACATCACAGAGAATGAGAATCTCTTGTTTTCTCAAATTCTATCACAAGAAACCAAGTAAATTCTTAACATAACGATTCTTCTCTTTCCAACATTAGAAGATGTGTCAAGTTCATTTCTCCTTTATCAATAAGAAACCAAAACCTCAAGACTCATGCAGCTAGCTAGGCCTTGGAGGTGACTTTCGACTCGAGTCATTCTATAGTGATAAGGCCTTTAGATGAGGTCTTATCTCTTAACCGTTGGATCAAACTAATCAATTTGATCCAATGACTACAGAATTCTACATTTCGGCTTTCGAACTTCAAGTTTTCTAGCAACATTTATTTTCATCAAGATGGGCTGGGCCCACAGTACAGTAGCTCATTTGACTTGTCAAACAAACAGCCCTGTAAAATCAAGGGGTCTCTAAATAGTAAATTGTAATGAAGGAAGGATTAGTTTATAGTTCTGGGGCCAAACTGCAAAGCACTAGTTGCCGAATAATCACGCAAATGAGGAAAAAACTTTGACAGCAGTGCCCTACTTAAATGTAATACCAAGACAAACACTGATTGGAAATTCAATTGACGAAGTTGAAGCTTTGATGGTTGACTACAATTCTAAAATATCCTCCTCCCTAACATGTCCATATCAACCCCTCCCAATAAGATAACCCTTTTGTATTTTGTTTATTCAGACATCGTTTTCCATGATACAAATAATATTAATTCATAAATTAATATGCCTTGACCGTCTCTTGTGTTGGTTTTATCCATGGGGCTCCTTTGCTCATGTCAATTAGCAACTCATGAATCACTAGTCTCTTAGTATTATGAAAAACTTAATTATAATTAACATCAAAATGCTGCTTCGGTCGCCCTAAATTCGGTTTTAATTATAATATAATCAAGGAAAACATGGAAGAATGCGTGTGATGTTTGGATGCTATTGTCCTTACATTGTTGTGTTGATGTTAGCTTCATCAATTGCATCGATCTTCCTCGATGATTACTAAGCAATCTCTTTTGGTCCCATTTGAAATGATAGATGATTTGTGATCAAGAAAGAGAATCTTGGATGCCAAACCCTTTACATATAAAAAATAATTATTGACTGAATATTTACATGTTTGATATTCTTGGTTCTGTCTCCTTGTTGTTTTCCATTTTATAGCCCAGCTGCTGCTTGTTTTTTCCCATTAAGCTTCTGAGGATAAACTGCATGCCCACATGAATTCTTTCTTTCTTTTAGACTTCAACTAAAATTTTCACATAGCTTAGCAAATACCCAACACTATTTATCACATCAAGATTGTTGAGAGATTAATAGTTTATTTATTGGTAGAAAATTAATTAATACTTGTACATATTCCGTAAATCGAACATTATTAACAAGTCAGACGTCACCTCTACAAAGATGATTAGTGTTAATTAAGTATAGCTTAGCGGAACGGGAATGAATATAATTTGGCCTAGTGCTCTTCTTCAAGATTGTTGATAATGTCCTTATTCATTGATATTGAACTTGACCTAGAAAACAAAGCAGCAACATCTATTATGTCATTAATTCTTTTTTAAATAAAAAACATAAATGGACTTGTTTGGTTCCCTTCGATCGTTTGGAAGAAATAAGACAAAAAGGGTTCGGCAGCTCTCAACTAGTAATTACTGACGTGGGTTTGAATTAAACTAATTGATTTTAACAGGTAGGATGCATGGTAAAATACAAGGGCATCTAGTCAGTAAGGTCTGTTATGAAAGCACGATAGACACAGAAATAAAAGTTGAAATTTGTTTGGAAAAGAATGCAGCTCATTCTTTTTTTTCTTTTTTTCTTTTTTTTCTCATAAATATTATTATGATGTACCTGAGACCACTGCAAGTTATTCATTGGACTAGACCCCGTTGACATCATGCAGTTAGCGATGCTTTGAACTTAAGAAATCCATCCTTTGTTTGAATAGCTATATTTCTTCCCATCTAAACTAATACTATATTTAGAACCTAAAGCTACAGAAAATGGCCTTTGGGTAAGTAAGTTTGATTAGGACATATCGTCTAGACTTTAGAGGAAAAACGAAATATTAAAACCCATGTTAATTTCAGTGCATCCTCATATTTAAATCCCAAACCCACCCTTTGTGTGCCAAGTTTAACTAAGCTTCTAGATTTTTATTTATAAAACAATCTACTTATTTTTTTTCTTCTTTCAATTCTTTATCTTTTTGTTTATAAATATAGGTCTCAATGTGCCCGGGCCTTGATAATTTGCATGCTTAAAAAAGAAAAAGAAAAAGTTATAGAAGTGAGCATACCTAGATCATTAAACAAGAAAGTAAGTACACTAAAAATAATTAACTATAATAAATTATAAGGATCAAATAGTGATTCATTAATTGGTCACATAGTTACCTTACCCAAAAAGAAAAGAAAAAAGAAGAAGAATGGAATACAAGCTAGCAAGGCCATGGTTGTATTTACCCAAAAAGTGAAGGGCATTTGGTAATTAACTTAAGTTTGCAATAATGTTTTCTTGTGAGCAGTATATATAATTATATAAGGCCAAAGAAGACCAGGTTCCAAGGTTAAGTCTAATTGCAAAAATAGTTGCTTCTCTCATCCTCTCACCAGAAATGAAGGAGCTGAGTTCCCTGGTTTTGTCTTCCTCCACCAAAAGCAAATTCCTGAATTTCTTCTCTTCACCAAAAACAAGCCCCTCCCTTTAGCTTTCTCTAGTAACAAGCTAATTATAAGCAACATAGAAAAATTCTGAAGAGGTGTAGAAAGGACAAGCTAATTATAATTGTATAATTATCTCAAATCCTTTTTGTCTGTCAAGATATGTCAAATATTACAGGCGATGTTGAAGAAGGCAGCTTCTCTTCAGGGAACAATACTGGGGAGCTAGAAGTTCATCAAGAAAACCAGCAGCAAAACCACTTGCAAGCCTCTGGCTCCGGAGGCGCTTCTGGTGCCCAGAGCAACAGCAATGGTTCTGTCACTCAACAGCAGCATCAGCAGCAGCAGCCTCCACTTAAGAAGAAGAGAAACCTTCCAGGAACTCCAGGCAAATAATTTTCAATCAATTACTTGAGTAGTAATAATATCAAGTATATTTCTTTAATTTTTATTGGCAGTTATTATTGTTATGAAGTCTAATTTTGCATGTGAAGATGGCTATTTGATTCACTTCAAAATAACTAAAAAAACAAATGTTTTCTAAATTGAGTTATCTTGTAAAAGAATCAAAACTTTTTAATTATTGCTTTGAGATTACATGAAATGAACTGTTTGCTTGATTTCACCTTTTGTTGCACACCAGGTTACATACATATATTATATATAATATATATATATATATATATATGCTAATTTAATTATTGTGTATGATCAGATCCAAGTGCGGAAGTTATTGCTCTATCGCCAACAACGCTGATGGCAACCAACAGATTTGTGTGTGAGATCTGTAACAAAGGGTTTCAGAGGGACCAGAACCTTCAGCTGCACAGAAGAGGCCACAATCTTCCATGGAAGCTCAGGCAGAGAACCACTACTGAGGTTAGAAAAAGGGTTTATATATGCCCCGAGCCGACTTGCGTCCACCACAACCCGGCTCGGGCGTTGGGAGATCTCACCGGCATTAAAAAGCACTTCAGCCGCAAACATGGAGAGAAAAAATGGAAATGTGACAAGTGCTCCAAGAAATATGCAGTGCAGTCGGATTGGAAGGCTCATCAGAAGACTTGTGGCACTCGAGAATACAAATGTGACTGTGGAACCATCTTTTCCAGGTACTTCAATTAACTCAAAACCTTGATTTAATTAATTCTTTCATTCACGTTTGGACCTATATATAAAATAAATATTGCATGTGCATGAACATATGAGATTATATTGGGATCACCTTGCAAGTTCATTTCTGGAGTACACTTCAAAGATATATATATATTAAGTTAGGAAAGAAATGTCCGACCCCAATTGAAATATATTTACATGCATCGATATCCCTTTCTGGGACCTTTCTCAAATGATCTCTCTCTTCCCACCAATCTAATTAAGTATATATATGAACAAAGGAAATAAAGGCAACACTTGAATATCATGATTGTGTTTGTGCAGGAGAGATAGCTTTATCACCCACAGAGCCTTCTGCGACGCATTGGCAGAAGAAAACAACAAAGTCAACCACGGCCTCATGAGCTCACAGACCCAAATGCCTCTCCCTCATGACCAGCTCATATCATCAATGGCCATGAACACCAACTCATCCATGGGAGGAGGATCCGACGTCCTCAATTACGATATTTCGAATAAAAACTCACTCAATAAATCCTTCCCTGACGATCTTGTGCCAATGCCATTCAAGTCGATGAACATGAACATAATGGCAGGTGGTGGTGGTGGGGGGCCAGGCATGTTTTCAAGCACCTCAGGTTCACTCTTTGGCGGGCCAAGAAGCGTTTCATCAGCCTCGGCCTCTAGCCTTCAGCTGAGCTCCAACAACAACAACAACAACAGCTCATCTGGGTTCAATTACCTTCACCATCAAGAAACCAAAAATGGGGGGAGCACCCAAAGTAACATTACTGGGGCAGCTCAAATGTCTGCCACTGCCTTACTTCAAAAAGCAGCTCAAATGGGTGCCACTGCAAGCAACTCTACCATCAACTCCCCCATGATGCAGAAGAGCTTTGTTAGTAGCATGGCAGGCCCTGATCAGCTCTCTGTTAATCCTATTTCCATTAATAATAATAACAATAATAATAATAATAATATTAGACCGCCATCATCATATGATGATCATCATCATCAGTTCCAACAGCAACAGCCGCCTGATCATCATCAACCACATAATTCACACAACATGGTTGTTGGAGGATTCGCCAACCAGCTCATGCAGAAGGGCGGCCCACAAGAAATGTCTCAGCTTTTTGATCATCATACCAACTCAGCTGCAAGCTCTACAATGACTGACATGGGTCTCTTTAGCCAAGTCTTCATGGGGATTGGTGGTGATCCCCATCATCATCATGAGATTAGTGCTGCCAATAATAGTTCTAGTCCTAATTCGATACATGGAATTCGAATCAACGCAATGGAACGGGGCGCGATGGGACCGTCCACAACACTTGATCTGCTAGGGATTGGAGGGTCAAGGCCACCAAATCTGCATGAACATCACCACCAGCAACAAAGGTTGGACTTGGAGGCAATGAGCCAGCACAGATTACCAGCAGCAATCATGAACCCTTTTCAGCAACAGCGCTCGCATGGAGATTCAGCTATGGAAAAACAGATTTGGGATGTTTGACAAAAAAGTACATGCATGTTATGATACTTATAACTTCCTCATCATTTGAAGAAGAAGAAGAAGTAGGTCTTGTTTTGCATTTGCTTAGACTGTGAGAGAGTTTGAGATTTGGAGCCTGATTATCATTTCATTTTATTGTATTGTGATGATGGGGTCTTGGAAATTCTTTAGGGCATAGTCAAATCTGGGCCTTTTTTCTGTCAACCCAAGTCATCTTTTTTATGTACTGAGTTTTTATGACCCAATGAGATAGATACCCAAAAAAAACTCTTGGGTGCATTGTATTTGTTTTAAGTCAGCTTGCAAAACCTTAAAATGTATTTTTATTTTCATAATCAAGAATGAATGTTCAATTTTTACATCAATGTTATGTGTTGTGTCAACAACATTGAAAACTTGTCTTACTTTGTTATTGGATTTTGAATATTAGCAAGCCCATTTAAATTTCCAGCTTGGTTAACATCCATGTTCCACAGATGCCCAATGGGCCCTATTGGGCTTTAGCTGTAAGGATAATTTCGTAATTCCAAGAATGAATAGACGGCAAAACCCTCTCAATCTCAAACCCTAATTCAGATCGCTTCCCTATATATTGAGAGCTCAAAGCCTCCCTCTCTCACAACCATCTCTGTCTTTTCGTCTCGTTTTCTCGCTCTCTCTCTTCATCCTTTGAACAAATTCAATAGGGTTTTTGTTTTGGTTAGTTGATTTTGCATAGAATAGAAGAAACAAGGGTTGGAGGCTGTGATGTTGATAAACTACCTATTTTCTGAGGGAAGATATTCCCTTATGATTACAAAATTTACCAATGGATCCTTCTGAGCCCTCACTCTTTTTTTTCTTTTATATTTTCTTCGTTTTTATTTTCTGTTTGAGGAGAACCATTGACGTGATGATATGTTTTTCGGAATTTATAGTGTCGACTTAAAATAACAGACTACAATTATCTGATCAATGGTTTCTCTATTATTTTTTTCCTCCGGGTCTTTTTACTTTTGAAACCCAATTATTATTTTTCGTATCAGCCTAATTGTTTGCGTTTGAACTTTGGATTGGAGCAGGATCAGGTTTCAATCCAAAATCTATAGCCGATTGGAGTTTTATTTCTTTCTAAATAATATGTACACCAAATTTGTGGTCCTAAAATCTGGGATTTTGCTCTCTAAATAATGTGTTAACACATGCGCTTTAGCAGTGCTCGAAAAATCGGCCTGGGCGGATCGCGTTCCTTTTTGTTTTGAAGTTCTTTTTCTTGACTTTAAAGTACCTCACGCTGTCTCTCTCTCCTCTTAGCCGTCACCGCCTTCTCTCTCCTTCCCTCCCTCCCGTTCTCCCTTAAGACGAGTGGGCGTCAAATATTAAAACATTAAGTTACTAAACACCAAAGATTAATATGGATGCCCATCATTACCTGTTATCCTACCGTTATATTCTTAACCCTTAATTCCTATTATTATGATGTACTGGAATACAAGACTAGATGAGTTTCTTCCAAATTTATGGCAGGTCGTCTGCTCGAAATGATAACTGGGAACAAAATTACAGAAACGAATGTCAGGGTTGATAACTTTCTTCGATGTCAATGACATTAAAAGATTACATTAACAACAAAGCAAATGTTAATGTATCCTATCATTTCTTCTCCCCTGTCTGCCATGGGGTTAATCTATTATTATCTATTGTAATATATGCAAAATCATTAAGAACCTAAAACAATAATAAGATCTTATTATTGCCATTGGAAATGGTATTTCTCACGAAGCCTTCTTTTCTATCTGCCCTGTTTTAGTCATGGTTCAATTGTGGAATTGGACTTCCCAGACGTAGCTGAATGCTAACATGAATTAGATTGGTCGCCGCCTTCAAAATTTCTTCCTCAGCTTCTTTTGCCAGCTCCACTGCATCTCTGGAAAGAAAAGAAAAACATTACTTAAAGGCCGTTGTGGAACGTAACTAGACAAACAGCATCAAAATCACCAAGTTGTTATACAAGTTTTTACCGAATCAGGATGTCCGCAGGCATGGAAACCTCAATTTGGAGTAACATCTTGCCCCGCAACAAGTGATGCGTTATGCGCTCAACAACCATTTTCTGAAACACACAACGTCATTTTCACTTGCAATAGTATATAAAAAGGCTCAAGAATGTGCACTTCAGAAGAAAAACATATTTGGTGTCGAAATAACTGAGCTATGAATTTTAAGTTTATCCCCTCTTAATCTAAATTCTATTCACAACATAATGCAAAAACACAAGTTAAGATTAACTTCCATTTCCAACTTGATAAGGAGACGAGACTCACCTCTGCATACTTAGATGTGATGATTCGAGAAACAGCTGCCTCAATGTCCTTATCCTCACCAGGAGAAAATTTCTGGCATGCAATTCCCTTGAGAATTTCTTGCTGATCTACACTGGGGCAAATTTGTTGAATTGAAGGATCTACAAAGAAGTTAGAGCAGGTGATGAGAATTATGTGGAGTGAAGAAAATGAGAATAAAAAACGATATAGTGAGAAACCAAAATCATTTTATCCAACATAAGTGAACTAATATATGGAAGGAAAATGCTGAGTGTTTTTTATCCATTTTTTTCTATGTAGGAAAATGCTGAATGTTTATATAAGAAAAAATTGGATAAAAATTATTAGAGTTTGTCTAGCCCAATTTCAGAAATTCGCCAGTGAAACTGTGCCTACCTATGTGTATGAAAACCTCAGAGACTTCAGGATGGGATTTGTGAATCTGATAACGAACATTTTCTCCAATGTCATGTGCAGCACTAACACTACAGAATGGATCAACCTGCCAAGTAAAATTAACGAATAAAACGCCTTATAGGAGAAACATTGCACAATATTTGTCAACCCCATAGAGAATTTCCAGGCAAGCAGGAGAAAGTGCAGAACAGGAAAATCAACCTCAATATGTACATCAAGGTATAGAGTTGAACCAGCCCTCCTTCCCCTCAAGCGATGACATCCCTGCACACAATTTGAAAGATAATTTGAAACAGGACAAAACAGAACGTAAGATCTTAGCTAATACTATTAAACGTAAGAGCATCCATAAGCCAATATTGATGGCACCCTCTACAGAAGCACTGCTTGAAAGCTTAAATACATGAAGGAAAATAACAAGGGGGACTTCAAAGATCAGATAAGCAGACCAATAATTTCATGAACACATTATAAGAATTTTACACTAGATACCTTCACACCCTCAACTTGTACAATTGTCTGTTTAATAGGATCCAAATGCTTTGCTGGGATTGCCGCATCCACCAGTTCCAAGACACTAAATTGGGTCCACCATCCAAAAACACACATACACATCAGATAGCGAGATGAAAAATTAACAGACATGCACACAAATAAACATATAACAAGCTTGCATTAAACTAAAGACCATCCTGGGACACATAGAAGTGTCAAAGTTGGAAGATTGACAGAAACATTGTACTACTGTAAGATCATTAGCACAAAGTCATTAAATGGGCATTCATGCTCCCCTATTCCTTCACACTAGTCTTATGATTTTGCTGCATCACAATTGAACATAAAGTTTAAAGACTACAGACGCCATCTATACTACCAAAAGGCTTGGTGAGATATGATTGCTATAAGTAGGTTTTATTCAGTTGAGGAGACTATACATAGCCTTAAAGGCCTCACCCAATCAGGAAACCAGCAGAATCTCTAAACAAAAAATTAATGAAAAAACAAAATGAAAGTATGGATGTGGATCACAGAGATGTTTAAAATATCTTACAACTGCATTCATATTGCCAATCGACACTTGCAAGTTGCTATAGCTTAAACATTCACACGACCTCCAATGGAAGTCTAAGAAGCAAGAGTGATACAAAGGTGCAGATAAAGTGGACAACAAAAATCAGACCTCTGATGCCCAGTTTCAAGTCCCGCTTTTAGGATCATGCCTGAGACAAGCAGTCCAGCAAGTGGATCTAGAAATTTCACTCCTAGGATTGAACCTCCTAAAATAAAAAAGAATGAACCATGCTCAGTTGAGAATCACGGGACTGAATGATAGTAGTTAACGTAAGAAAATGAAAAATGCATACGCTTAGGTTTATTTTTACATAAAACTATTTTGGTCAGTAACTATGTGGCCTTAAGACATCCCTGTGTTTGGATGCAGTATCTTGAATTGAGCTGATTATTTAAAATTTAACTCAGTATTTTAGAAAAATAGAAATAGAAATTATCTGTAGGAAGAACCAAATTGTCTCACCAACTCCAATGAGAGCAACTACTGATGAAACGGCATCTGCACGATGATGCCATGCATTTGCTTTCATCAGTCCACTACCTTGCCTTTCTCCTGCCCGTTTTGTGATCCAATAAAGTCTGGAAGTAAAAAGGGAAGACACATTAGTTTGTTTGTGGGTGGTGTTTTGGGGAGAGAGAGAGAGAGAGAGAGAACAGCACGGATAAAGTCTGAAATAAACATGCAGTTGAGATGGTTTACACATAAGCAACAAGGACCAATGATTCAATGACCTAGATAGCTATGTGGTTCAGATAAGGAAATTCAATCTGCTTTTCAGTGACATGGAATAGGAGACAACTCTTGAAAAATTAAGATTTTATAAACTTTGGTACCCTTCTTTAACAAATATCGAGAAAACAGTCATGCTCAAAGCTAAAGCAGGGTGCTCCATGTCAACTCCATGGTGATGTCCACGATGATGATGATGGTGATTATGCACATGATCAGTCAATGACTGACTAACTATAGCAGGATCCGCTGAAAACAATCCCTGCACATGGAAGACAATGGTTTCTAAGGACAAATACAAAAACAAGAATCTGATCCAGTATCAAGAGACAAATTCACCACGAAGTATCAAATTGTCAATAGACTATCAATCTTGAAATCCATTTGGAAACCGCAAAGTAACTACATATGAGTACCATTCTTTAATGAGGTAGAGGGAGAAAGTAACACTTACTAGCAAAAGATCCAAAGCATGCCAAGCAATGCCACCAGCAGTTGCCAACAGCATACAAGAGATTCCAAGTGCTCCAAGAGTCTCAAATTTACCATGTCCTGGAAAAACAAGTGAAACAAGAAAACAGTTGTATATGAACCCAGCACATACAGACGACAATGAACTACAAAAGAAAGGGTGTATATCCATAATGTGAGATCAATGGAGTAGCGTGTAGGTACAAATCAAGAGTGACCATATGGGTGTTCTTTGTCTTTGGGAGCCTTTGCAGCTGTGAAT